TTTTTTTTTTTGTTTTTTTTTGGGTAAAAGATAGGATTAGTTGAATAGTAATTTGGCAATGTTTTGGAATCGTTATGTGTGGAATTTATATATATTTTTTTTTTTTGGTACACGGACTTTCCGATTTTCAGATCCACAGGGGAACCGACTAATCCAGAATTTATATAATATTAAGTTATTAACTGATAAAAGTGAAGTGGCGTGTGTGTGTGTGTTATTGTTGTTTTTTATTTTTAATTTTTTTTATATTAGGGCGTGTGGAGGGGAATGGAGATGGGGAGATCGTAGCCGTTGGATTTCGGTGGATCGATGGAAAGAGTATGTGGGGTGTGGAAGTTTGACTTTGGATGGAATTGGAGGTGGGTTTGGCGTAGGGTGGACACGTGTCATGGCAGCTACGTGGCACGTTGACATTCTATGTGGCAGTAATAAAAGGATAAAGAACAAAGACGAGGCTTTAAATAGATCGTAGAGTTCCCTAAGAGCATTCACAATGTTTAGAGTTATTTCCAAATATACCGGCCACGTAGGAAATAATCTAGAAAAATATTTATTCCAAGACAAATGTAATTAGACTGGATCTTGCTGATGTGACAGCAAAAAAATTTGACCCGGTCTACGTTTGAGTCTATTTTAGACCTAAGTAAAGACCTAGTCTCTGAGTTAATTTCATTACTATTCAACATGTTTGTCCATGTCATCTAAGACTTGAGTCTATTTACATGTCATGTAAGCAAAACGAGACCCAAAACAGTGTACATGCTCTAAGGTACAAATTGAGATTTTTTAGTTGTTAATTATGATTAATTTTGAGAAATATAGTATGATTAGTTGCTAGTGGAATTTTAAGTTTTTATTAAACTAATGAAATAAAATAATATAAAGTTGATTTGACGTAAAAATAAGAAAAAGATGATGTGAAGTGATAATATTAGTTAAGATTATATGAGTATATGGATAGTAAATTAAAATACTAAAGTTGATGTGATATGTAAAAATGAGTGGTTGATACTGAGGACGAATTATGGATCGTCAGAGTCGAAAAAATCACGGGTTGCGGTCATGAATCGAACGATTTTAAATGAAAAAAGAAAAAAAAAAAATGATTTCCATTAATATACCCAATGTTATTGCATGATATTGAACGATAATATACCCAATTTAGTCTATAGAGATAAGTATAACCACGATATTCAATTGATCAATCGCATGACATATATTTTTTCATATCTAACATTTTTCTATTACTGATGAATTGAGTTAAAGAATTTTAGCCAACTATATAGTATGTACTAACAACCGTAGATGTTGGAAAATCGTTCAAAAAAATAAACGTTGCCCAATTAAATAGAAATTACATTTATAAGAATTAATTTTATTATTAGATGATATAATAAAATACTATATGTTTAGTTTTGCATAATTCATATAAGGAAACTGTTGGGATATTATTTGTGAGTTGTCCCACATTGATTTGATAGGGTAAATGAACATAGTTTATTATAAGTTTATTAGACTACTCCTCTAATCACTAATTGGTTTTGGGATGAAACTTCACTAATATTGCGTTTCATTGTGTGGGACCGCACCCCTGATGCCCCGATTATAAAAAATTAGACATGGTATCAGAGCGGGCCTAATTTGGGACCTGCGATGTTTTTTTTTTTTAAAAAAAGTACCCGATTAAATGTACTGGGCTTTTTTTTTTTTGAAAAGTACCCAATTAAATGTACTCGGCCTGGTTGTAGGTTTGGGTTTATTAAGGACTAACAAGTGAGGGAGCGTGTTGGAATATTACTTGTGAGTTATCCCACATTGATGTGATATGGTAAATGAGCCAGTTTATAATACTAGTGGGCTGCTCCTCCCATCACCAAAATGTTTTTGGAATGAAATCTCACTAAGGTGAAACTAGGCTAACTCTCTTATGGTGCGTCTCACTGTGTGAGACCGCATCCTTTTTAGTTTTTGGATGGAATCCCACTAAGGCGCAACTAGAATAACCCTCTTATGGTGCGTTTCACTGTGTGGGACCGCACCCTGATATCCCAATTATAAAAGAAATTAGACAGAAACACCCCTCATGCCCCGATTATAAAAAATTAGAAGGAAACACTTGCAAGATCATGTCAAGATGAATTGAGAAATCGCTCTTTAACTAGCTTGGTTAAAAAATAAAAATGAATTGATATTCACATATCTTTTTAGATTTTTATCAACATGCCTCTTATTTTGATCACTAACAAATTAAATGCTCAATAATTTTTCATTGAAATTCGTATAACCATCCAAATGACATTTGACCATATTTGATGTATGACAACAAACAAACTTTTTTTAGGCAAAATTGTACGACAATATGAACCAATTTAATCAAAATCCTACCCACCATATTTTCCTATTACAAATTAAATACTCTTTCCAGCACATATTTTACATTTCTTTCTAACTTGCCATTTCCATTTACCATCGATATTTATTTATTTATTAGCATTTGGCTTCTCTACGAATTATGCATTATGATTGGTTAGTCGATTTGATTTAGTAAAAAAAATCGTAGTTAAATTATTATGGTAAATATCAGAACTGATCTGATATCCAGTCTCTAGCTGATTATTGATCTGAGACCATATCGACATTTCGTTACGAAACCGACTCGTCGGTCTCATGCTAACAAGGTGAAGTTTTTTCTTCGTGCCGAGTTTGTAAGAAATGGTTAATTGCCCCGCTGCAAAGCGAACATGTTATCTCCCAAGAGACGCGAAACCACTTGTAGCCTTGCTTGCAAAGCACCGCGAATGTTGAGAAATTATGTCCCACATAAGAGCAATATTTTCATAAATGTTCAAATTCGACATTGAGTTCGACACGTTTTGTTTCCAACAAGTCTTCCACAAGTAACATCGATACAAGTCGGAGAGGGTGATTCGAGATTTAGGGCTTCGCATAAGCTTGACTGGGTTTTGTTCCGAGTGGCATCGTCAACCTTTAGAAAGGTGCCAAAAGTGTTGGTAATTGTTCGAAGAGTCTTCATATTGCACACGGTCACACACGCTCTCGTACATGAATCCATCCGACGGCCAGACATAAATCATACTCCTTCCCAAACAAATAAAGATTATAAACAATATAATTAAAATATAGTTAGTTGTGTTTCTAAAGTTAAATAATGTCATGACGTTATAAGATATATTCCCAATTATTTAAAAATAAATATGGCAAACGGCATTGTTCATGATGCTGATAATTTATAATACTACATCTAATTTATAATGTCATGACGATATAAATATGGCTTTCAGTGAGGGTAAATTGCACCAAACCCCCCTGTAATATACTAAATCTGCGCGTTTTCCTCTCGTAATTTAAAAATTGCGTCAAACCCCTTTCTATTGTATATCTGCCTGCACACTCTCCCTTTGATGTTAACACACTACAATAAAATG